CTTTAGTGCTAGTATTTGAATGATTCACTGGCGTAATGTCGACAGTGATGACAAAACAGATGATTTTGCTGACATTTTTAGATTATAAGGCTGAACAGCATGAAGTCTACAGAGATTTATCAGTATTTCTCTTTTGCAATTGGGAGATCACAATAATTAACCCCCAAAAAGCCAAAGCAAAACAAACACTTCAAGATAATTATGGTATAGATACAGCTCTACAACATACAAAAAGAGAGAGATCAGGGGTCTGTTCTTCGTACCTCGCTTAAATGATCTAAGATGATTTGGCAGATCCTGGATCTGTTCATCTTGATAACTGATCTCTCGCTAATTTGGTTCTTCTAACAAGTTCGCGAATCAGATTAGAATGTCTGGATAAACTGATCTGAGATCGCTGCGTGTGTTGTGAAGGACAGATCTATCGATCCTCGAAATCATGATCAGCAATGAAGCGATTGGCTGACGGCACAGCAGCGTAATGACATCATCTGATTAATATTCAATTATCCATGTGAGCAAAATTACATCAAATTAGCAGTAAACCGTTTGTTAAATATGACACGCAATAACCTTCCACATTTGTTGTGAGCTGCAGGCTTTACACTTTCATGTGTCAAGAGTATTCATCATATATTTCAGTCCATATCAGTGTATTTAGTTCTACATTTAGAAAAGATTTTCTTTATTATAGTAGCCGTTTTTTAATCGCTTTATGGAATAACTGGTTGTTTACAAAAGCATTTTCATATTGGTAAAAGCGTCGCAACTTTTGTGAAGCATCAAATCACTATTAACTATCAAAACATGTTTATGACTGCATAAATGTATTATTGCTTTAAAAAAAGTCACTTATTGTGCATTTCTATTATACACAAATTATACTAAAGCGATCTAAAAAGTTCATATCAATAAGTTTTCTTTTTGCACCACCAGGTGGCAGTCTTTGTACTTTCATTTCGAGGGTGCAGATTGCATACGTTTTATTAATATGTATAACTTTATTTATTTTATTAATAACTATAACTTTATATATATATATAGTTAAAAATATGTACCATTTTCCCAAGTGTATATAACTACTACTGTAGGAAAATATCAGAATTAGGAACATACTTTCTGTATTATCTTTGTTTGAACTGAGCCGATCTAATCCTGTTCATATGAATTGAACCTGCTCCCGATCAGGTTTGACCCAGCAGAACTGTTGCTATGACAACAACTCTCGGATCAGCTTTGAAGAACGAAATGATCCTGGATCGTGTCCAATCGTCAATATCCAAATCCAGCTAACTGAGTAATCCACGTACGAAGAACGGACCCCAACTTAGAATGTCACTTGCCTAGTTATTAATGTTTTGATCAGCTGTAGTTTTAAATTAATGCTGAGTTTTTCTCCACTAAGGACTTATTATGCGGTCTCTGTCGCCAACTTGTGGTCAACCGTCTTTGCTTTGCTCAGTGCACCACTGAAGTGTTAAATCTAGAGATGCTCTGATTGATCGGCTGGAGATCAGTATCGGTGGATAATCACAGTTAATGACTCAATTGGTACTCGCCAATTTGGCAGATCTTAGGAACCGATCGCAAGTGTTTCTTTATGAGTTTACAAGCAGAGGAAGTAGCACGTGCGCACCTGGTTTATACAGATAGCAGAACTATAACATGTGGAGATAAAATGTGTGGGGGTGTCGTGTTTGCTGTGCAACTAAAATATAGATGTGGTTTGTCCTCTATTTATACAGTTTATTGAGGCGACTCACACAAGTGAGTCTCTTTTGGTCTGTTTCCACTGCTTTTTAAAATAGGCAGTGGTTCCTGTTTCCTATTTAAAATAGGCACTATCCTTATAAATAAACTGCATAGTTGCAATCTAAACAACTACATTCTAACCTTAAAAAGCCTCAGAAGTAATATGATGCACAATGCCAATATACCAGCCTGAGCTCACAAGAAAACATAAGTATTTTACGTTTTGCCAGTTTAGTGGCTAATTCGTACGAATTTGTACGAGTTCAAGTCGTATGAAATTGTACGATTTTAAAGGAGGCATGGCATCTAACCCCACCCATAAACCCAACCGTCATTGGGTAATGAGCAAATGGTACGAATTAGATTGTACGAAATCATACAAATTAGCCACTAAATCAAAAAGTTACAAATTGCTGTGAGATTGTGTTGGATATATTACATGTCTTTCCTTTTATATGTAATTTTAAAAAGTTATAACAATTAAATTAAACACAATTTAATATATATTATATAGATTATATACAGTATAACTGTAATACTTTTTCAAAAGCAGCTGCAACATATAATATTAATTACCACTGAATTGTGGTGTAAAAAATCTTAATATAGCCAGTCTAAATGGGGTATATTTACAGTGAGTCTCTGCCACTGTTAATGAAAAAAAAAACTAATTATTAATAATTATATTTGCCAAAAGTGAAAATTAATTATTTTTATTTTTATTATTATTTTTACTAATTAGCAAAGGCAGAAATAGGAACAAAATAAACCAAACACGCCTTCATCCCTACAGGGCCTCTAAAAAATATACCCTAACCACAGATTCTCTAAAATCATTCATCTTAATTTGTTCGTTTTATTCCAGTCCCTCTCGTTGTTTGACTTTAAAAACACTTAAACGGATGCGCATGAGGAAACAACTGCCTGAAGGCGATGCATTGGAAATATTTTTACTCGAAGGCCTCAATCAGAAGTCGCAGTGGGCTTGCGGTGCCAAATGCTGCAGGAGTGTCTGGGTGGAGGAAGTAATTAAACCGTGTCTCTGTGTGATTGCAGCGTCTCTGTTCGGCACCCAGCGGCCTCAATCTCTACATCTGTTCTGCTTTTCGATCTCTCCAACCTCTCGAAGTGGGCGTGATGGTTGGTTATCCTGTAGAGATATGGACTTAAATCTATATTACGGTATTTTGCAGTAATTATTGCGATAAATATATATTCAAATGTTTCACAGACTGCTGTTTGTTTAAACTATTCACCTTATTCTTTGCAGATGAGCGGGCGCAGCCATTTATATTATTCTACTTGGTCTGTATAGTAATGCAAACATTTTTTTGTAGAGCAAGTAGTTTGACCGTTTTCTGCCGTTAATTATTATTTGTTATTTCTCCCATAGGTGCCTGAATCGGAAGTTCTAAAACAATCGCAAAAACAGGCGCACTTCCGCATTTTAGAATAAGGTCAATACTTATTTATAACAGGGCAAAACAATATAGTTATTTTTGGGGACAACTTGAGTGTTTTATGTTCAATACGCTTAAATTTGTAGAACTTAATTCCTGTAGAACTTAATTCCTTCATGTTGTCCCAACACAAATCAATTGTTTGGAACCAAGTTTGCAGTGAGGGAGACAAAACACATATCCTGCATGCTGTAAAACCTTTTGTTTGTTTAAACTAAGAGAAGTACACTGAATTAAACATGATGAGTAGATTTAATTTGAAGGTAATCTTAGTTTCAACACACAACAGTCAAAACCACAAATTAATAATTCATTTAATAATTAAAAGTAAATTTTGAAAACGTAAATTAGAGATTAAAATCCAAAACTTCAATTAAATATTAATTAAAGTCATTGTGACATCACATTTACAATATTGATTATGCTAGCAGGGTGACTAGGTTTCTCAGTGGTTAGCACTGTCATTTTACACCAAGAAGATTGGTGGTTCGATCTCGGCTGGTTCAGTTGGCTTTTCTGTGTGGAGTTTGCATGTTCTCCCCATGTTGGTGTGGGTTTCCTCCGGGTGCTCCGGTTTCCCCCACATTTCAAAGACATTGAATAAACTAAATTGGCCCTAGCCTATGTGTGTGAATGAGTGTGTATGGATGTTTGCCAGTACTGGGTTGCAGCTGGTAGAGCATCCGCTGTGTAAAACATATGCTGAAAAATTTAATTCCGCTATGACGACTCCTGATGAATAAAGGGACTAAGCTGAAGGTAAATGAATGAATCTTGCTAGCCCACATTATTGTTGATATTTATGTGAACAAGTTATCCATTCAAGTTATTCCATTCACAAAAGAAAATGTTTTGAAATTCTTTAATCAAATTCTTACCATTTGCTTCTTAATTTGGAGTGGTGTTTGCTGATGTCAGTTTGAAGCTTCAGTAACAATATTTTTAACCATGCCCCTTTTATGCCCTTTCTATTTGTAATGAGTTGAGTTGAGAGTTGAGATTCCGAATGCAGCTAACTATTATAGGAGTGGTCAAAAAGGCAGAGGTCAAAACACCAGCAAACAACAATATAAAGGGGTAATCCACAAGAGTACACTGTAGAACAGAACAAACAAGGCAAGGCAAAGTCAAAAACAAAAAAACTAGTGAGTAGTGATAATTACAATGAAATATGACTAAGCAGAGAATGGGTGTGAAATTGGTGCTCAAAAGTCTGGATGATTGTGTACATGTGCAGTGGAAATCACTGAATTATTCTGGAGAAAAAATATACAGGTGTGAGATGCAAAACATTATGGGAAATGTAGTCTGGGTGAGTTACAGAGATGATGGAGTGCCATCTTGTGGAGATTGTGAGCACTCCAGCTAAATATCATAACGCTGAGATGCGGCAGTCACACTCAAGTTTAAGCATGCGAAATTTTGTAGTACGGCCCTGTGAAAAGGGGCGGGATTAAACAAGATGATTAGACATTTAAAAAGTGAGCGATTGGTCCATATTTAAAATTTCTATACAGAGAGGTCATATTTTGATCTTTGATTTGTCTTTCGCAGTCACGTGATAGGGTTTCACAGGTCAGAGTTCACCAGGCTTGAACTTTGCACCACAGCGAAGTGCAAAACTTGTCGTACGAGTTTGTGTTTCCACTCTGACGCATCTGCATGCTTATGAAAAGAATTC